GTACTGTTTGCAGACAGATTTGTAAAACAGATTTCAAATGTCTGCAAACCAGCTATGTCTAGGCTGTTCCAAAATTGAAACATTTACCCATGAATTGGCAAGGGATATGCCTTAAATTTATAAATCTCTGAGACTCAGCCAAATTCTTCATGGCTTCAATCACTGGCTAAACACATTTAAAAGCTGGCTTTATTTCGAAATTATTAGCCAGAATGGTGACTGCATCGTTTGTCTTATATTTTGGCTTCTATAAAGAATAGAAACGCCTTTACTTTTTAATTAAGGTTTGGGATCTGGGCCTAGGTCCTACACTTGTCTCTTCAGCAATGCTGGGGTTAGGGGGTGTCAGACCCCTGTGTAGTTCAGAAACCTCCATCAGCAACACACATACTCCTTGTGTGTATACACTCAGACCCTCAATGCGTACACATTCCTCTGCCTTAAGACAGGTGCTCCAATTCTAGTGGCAGCATCAAGTGGGAGAAAGCAAGTGAACCTCTGCCTGTTGCAGTGCATGCAACAAAACTCACATACCAGGCACACACAAGCAGTGGGAACGGGGCATTCTCTCTCTCTCTCTCTCTCTCTCTTTGTGTGTGTGTGTGTGCGTGTGTGCGTGTGTGCGTGTGTGTGTGTGTGTGTGTGTGTGTGTGTGTGTGTGTGTGTGTGTGTGTGAGAGAGGTGTGTGTATGAGAGAGAGAGAGAGGGAGCACAAGAAAGAGTTTTGCACTGATTTCTTCTTCCTCCTCCTCCTCATTTTGCTTCGAATCAGCCACACCTCTCCCTTTCCATTGCAACAGGAGGTCACTGGCTACCACATATGAAGAATACTAATTCTTTGTGAACTTTTTTCCTTGAGAGGAACAACTTCCTTCTCCTTGTTCCTTGAGAGGAACTGCTTGAACAGCACACCCACTGCCACCCCTGCCGCCACCACTTTGCATTGGGGTCAGGTGATGAACCCACATGCCCCAAAGCAGAGAAAAGCAATGCCAGCTAAACTGGAGCAAAATAAACCACCCCCTGCTGGCTGAACAAAAAGAGACAAACACAGGCTTCCCTGCACTTAGTTTTACATCATCTAGTCACCAGTTTTACTTTGATTTCATCCATGACAAATCTGCGTCAGACTGCAGGGTAAATAGCCCATGTAGTTCTCTCTCTCACACACACACATACACAAAAGTTAGGTCAGCAACAGGAGCAACAAAAACTGCTACAGCCTGGAAAAAAAAGAGAGAACTCTGTCAACCCCAGCCCTTCTGAAACACTGCCAAGCTGTTTGTTATTGTGAGGAAAAAGTTAAGGGGAGGAGAGCCATGGACATGGCCCTGAGCACTCATTGGGGGAAATGTGGTACATAAACATAACTAGTAAAACTATGCTAGACATTGCAGTAATAAATCATGAATACTTATCTGTTCAAATTCTAGTTAATTACTAAAAGCATTGATATATATTTAAAGCAATCTATTTCACTGTAAATTGCTTTGAATTTGATCAATTCTATGAAGACTTACAACACCTTCTAGAAATGACACCAAAGAAAGGTGTTCTTCTCATTATAGGAGATTGGAATGCTAAAGTAGGGAGTCAAGAGATAAAAGGAACAACAGGAAAGTTTGGCCTTGGAGTTCAAAATGAAGCAGGGCAAAGGCTTATAGAGTTTTGTCAAGAGAACAAGCTGGTCATCACAAACACACTTTTCCAACAACACAAGAGGTTACTCTATACATGGAAATCACCAGATCGGCAATACCGAAACCAGATTGACTATATTTTCTGCAGCCAAAGATGGAGAAGCTCTA